GCCGCCGCCGCGCAGCCCGCGGAGGTCCCGACCCTCCGTCCGCTGCCCTCGCGAGCCCCGGGGAGACAGCGGCCGCCTCCTCGCACCCCCGTCCTGCCCGCAGCCCCTCGCCACCACCTGGCCCTAAGCAGCCCGCCTTCTCGCGGGGCCTGGGCCTGTCCAGCCGCCCTCTCGCCCCATGCAGTCTTAGGCCAGTCCTGACACGTCCCCATCAATATCGCAGCTAAGCCATGGAAGGTGACCCATGCCTTCCCCCCACCCCTAAGGCCTGCAGGGCCCTGGAGCAAGTCGCTTGCCTCAGCGGCAAGAATGAACCTGCTTTCCAGGAGCTGGGACTAACGCCCAGGATACGTGGACTGTAGTCACCAACCCCTGTGGCCCCTGGCAGGTCTTAGGGGACTGGGCAGGGTGGGAGGACCGTGCTGCGGGGCTATGAGCACAGCTGGAGGCAGAGAGGGTTAGGCCCCCAGCCACCTCCCCTGTGGGACACCAGTGGCAGGACAGCAAGCTAGCACACAGCTGGCCTCTTCCTCAGCCTGTGTGTTAATGGCACATCTGTTCTGTCAAGGTCTGTGTCCCATGCCTGCAGCTGGAATGGAGGTTCCTTGGACCCTTTAGAAGGTCAGTTGTGCTGGGGTTGGGCAGCCAGGCAGGCTGGGGTGTGGACTGACTCTGGAACAGAGAGAGAGACAGGAAGTGACTTTCTGTGGCCCTGGGGTCACTGCCCTTAGGGACCGTTGGCTGATGGCTGTAGTTTTTGTGCATCTGCTGGAGGGTTTTCTTTTATCCATTGTCCCTCTGATGCCCCTAGTGAGAGTGCTCTGGGGGACCTCAGGGAGAGGAGGGGAGTGCCAGTCCAGCTGGACCACATCCCATTCAGTGCCGGCACTTGCTGTTGATTGGAGAAAATTCTGGTCTGAAATGGACTCTAGTTGAGTCTTCCCTTTGGTGTGGTTTTAAGTAACTTAATTAGTTGACAGCACTGGCCCGTCCTTCTCGGTGCTGTGTGTGTGATCTCCTTAGTCTTCCCAGGAGCCCCAGATGTAGGGACTGTGTAGACCCATTTTATAGCTGGGGAAATTGAGATGCAGCCAGATTAGGTGGCTTCCCCAAGGTCACACAGCCCTGAAGTGGCAGAGCTGAGGTTTGAACCCATTTCTCTCTGACTCGGGCACCCTCACTTTTCACCACTATGAATGCAGCCAGCGCCTCCTTGTGGTGACAGCGCTTCCACTGTTGCCGCCCTCCTGTGTCTAGGTGCTGGGCACCAGGTAGTTGGGGCCTGGCAGCTTGGGCCTGGCTCTTGTAGGCGACTGAGCCAGGGGTCTCTTTGACTTTAGACAGCGTTCAAGACAGGACAGTGACTTGTGCCTTCAGCCTCAGTGTTGACAGAGTATTTCTGAGTGTCATCCATGGTTCCAGCTAGGGGATAGGACAGGAACTGGACAGCTGTGAGCCTGCAGCTGGGAACCGACCTCCAGAGAGAGTGGGGAGGGCTCACTCCCCGGAGGGGGCCTCTTAGCACTGAGACATTTGGGCTGGGCTGTTCTCTGGGGTGGGGTCCTGGGCACTGCATGGTGCTAAGTAGCATCCTTGGCCCCCACCCACTCCATACCAGGAGCTTCCTGTCCTGACAGCCACACGTGTCCACAGACATGGCCTGGTGTCTCCCCTGGGAGCAGACTCACCCCCCAGTTGAGGACCCCCCACACCAAGGAAAGGGTTGCACGTAATTGCTCCTGGAGACAGCATCTTTTTTGTTTTGTTTTGTTTTTTTAATGTTTTATTTCAAAGCCAGCACATGGTGCTTGCCTGTCGTCCCAGCAGCTTGGGAGGCTTGAGGCAGGAGGATCGTGAGTTCAAAGCCAGCCTCAGCAACAGCGAGGCACTGAGCAGCTCAGTGAGACCTGTCTCTAAATAAAATACAAAATAGGGCTGGGGTTGTGGCTCCATGGTTAAGTACTCTTGAGTTCAAGCCCTTGTACCAAAATATAGATAAGTAAAAAAAAAATATTTTATTAGTTGCAGATGGACACAGTACCTTTATTTCCTTATTTATTTTTATGTGGTGCTGAGGGTGGAACCACTGCCTCACATGTGCTAGGCAAGCGCTATGCCCCTGAGCCCCAGCCCAGCCCCGTTGGGCCAGCATTCTTGCACAGATATGGTGATGGTGTGGCCAGGTGGCAAGTGTGGATCGAGTCTCAGAAAGGATGGCATTTGTGGTTGTTTGGGGCCTCAAGGATGAAAATGAACGTGTCACAGCAACCATGGGAGGCCGTCCCAGCAGAGGGCCTGGCCACCGCAAGGAGTGGGGGCATCTGATGCTTTGAGGACAGTGAGGGGATCAGCGTGATGGGGGTCATGGTCAGGAACTGAAAGGAGGGGCCATGAAGGCCTTCAGGAGTGGCCACAGTCAGGGATTTGGGACAGGAAGTCTACTTCTGGCCAGTGCCCCTCAAATAGCATCTTTAGAGTCGTCGGAAACACTAAGGATGTTTTCCACCAAGTTACAAAGAAAATAACAGTTCTGGTCCCAGGTCAAGGACCTGCAGATGCCAAGGCCTCCTTGCTGGCTGGCAGAGTGCCAGGCTGGTGCGGGCATCCCACGGCGAGGCGGGGAGCTCACTCCCTGGGGTGACTGGCCAAG